GGCAAATAAGCACATGAAAATATGCTTAACATTGCATGACATTAGGAAATTGAAAATCAAAACAACAACCTGATATCCCTGCATATCTATAAGAATGACTGAAATCTAAAACACTAACACCTCCAAATGCTGGTGAGGATGTGGAGCTACAGGAACTCTCATTTATTGCAGGTGGGGATGCACAATGGTACAGTCACTTTGGAAGACAGTTTGTAAGTTTCTTACAAGACTACGCATACTCCTACCATATGATCTAGCAATTGTGCTCTTGGTATTAACCCAGATGAGTTGAAAACTTATTTCCACACAAAAACTTACACACAAATGTTTATAACAGCTTTATTCATAATTGTCAAAAGTGGAAAGCAACCAAGACATCCTTCAGAATGTGAGTGGACAAACAAACTGTGGTCCATCCAGATAATAAAACATTATTCAGTGCTAAAAGGAAATGAGCTATCAAGCCACGAAAAGACATGGCAGAGCCAGTTTGAAAAGCCTACCCATTGCAGGAATCCATCTATATGAGATTCCGGAAAAGGCAAAACTACGGAAACAGTAAAAAGATCAGTGGTTGCCAGGGGTTGGGGGGAGTGAGAGATAAACTGATGGGGCACAGAGGATTTTTAAGGCAGTGAAGCACTTCTATATGATTCAATAGTGGTGGATATGTGTCATTCATTATACATTTGTCAAAACCCACAGAATGTGCAACACCAAAAATGAATCCTAACATGAATTATGGACTTTGGGTGATAATGACGTGTCTGTGTGTGTTCAATTGTAGCAAATGTGGTGCGGGACATTGATATGGCAGAGGCTGTGTGAGAGGATGGCATATATATGGGAACTCTGTATTTTCGGTTCAATTTTCCTGTGAACTTAAAACTGCTCTAAAAAATAAAGTCCATTAAAAAAAAATGATGGGGAAGCCCCAGTCCCACATCTTGCCCTGGCAATTTTTTTTTTTAATTTCAGGGTATTATGAGGGTACAAACATTATGGTTACACTTTATGTCTTTGCCTCACCCAGGCAAGGGTTAAAGGCATGCCCTTTCCCTCTACAATGCTCCCCATGTCCTTTAGTTGCAGGTTTACCCCCCATCCCCCTAATCCCTGGACAGTATTACTGCCATGTGAGCACACTAGAGTTGATCAGTTAGTACCAATTTGATGGCGAGTACAAGTGGAACCCATTCTTCCGCTCTTGTGGTG